TAAGCGAAGAGGACATCAGGACCTCTTTTTCATGTGCAGGAACAATGATGTTCCAACAAAAAAAGGGCGGTCATCCTCCCGGGTGTCAAGTCAAACTCTCAGGGAGTCTGGATTTGCCGCAGTTTGCTACCGTGGACCTTACAATCTGTAGCTCACCATCGGCAAACACCATGCATTTCGTGGGTCTCAACCCCAGGTGCATACCTTGATGTAGACACATCCACAAAACGATCATCTCTATCCAACAGTCACGACCGGTGACTGGTGGAAGAGCCCCAAATGGCAGATTTCCCTTCGACCCACAAGGGATGGACCCAATCAATGACCGCCTGCGACAAAATTGAGAAAGAAGGGTCTTCCATCGGCGTGACTTTCATAGAATTCCTTTCAGACCTGGTGTTTTTCATTCCCCGCATTGAAGAGAAAGCCGGACGACCCTCCGAATCCACAGACCGTCCCCGAAGGCACCACAGAGGACATGGTCACGAAGAAGTAGGCATAGATGTTGGTGACCAGACTCTCCGTGGGGAAGCGATACTTGGAGCGGCACGTTGCGAAGCTGCGAAGCTGCGAAGCTCAACATCGCAAAGCTCAGCATGGCAGTAGCTGAAACAAACAAAGACTAACTGCTTGGAAGTTGGAACAAGTATCTGTATCCATGTCAAGATGACGGTGTGAATCTTTGTGTGGTTCATGGTTAAACCTTTCCGATTGAAGCACACAACCTTCGTCGGTTGAAATCCCCCTGCTTCGTATGCACGGTATTTTGTGGGTATTATAATAGGGAGACCCCCGGTCTAGACCCCCTGGAAGATTATCCGTAGACTCAACCAAACCATTGGTGGGGAGTGTCCCTATTAAAATACACACCCCTGGCTTCGCTCTTCGGCTTTTGCGGTCACCATCTGACTGCAACCTTTGCAGCCCTCTAGATGACACCAAAACCTCCCGACGGAGGAGGGCTTTTTGGCCTGGACATTCTTTGGAAAAAAGCGGATGAAACGTTTCCTCATGCAACCTCCCAACCAACGCCCAACGCGCTCCAACTTCTTTGAGGTGGGTTTGGAGGGTACCACCGCCACCCTCTGAACATGTATTTGGAGGCCTACGGCCTAGGGAGACATCATCGATTTCTCCTTCAACAAACGAGTCCCGGAAGGACCCAGCTGAATCATGCGTGACATGTTGGATTCATGAAGCATCATGAAGCCCTTCGTTCCAAACTAAAAGATTGTCATTGCTTCCGCAGTCCAATGCTCTACCATTCTACATCACCAAAGATTCGTCTGATGGATTGGAGTTGACCGACAGCTGAGGGCCGTGCGAGCATATTCTGCATCATGGCTTTGATGGCCTAGCACGGCAACAGTCCGCCATCTCTTTTTCACCAAGACACCTGATTCTTGCGTCTGACCACCACAGGGGCCCACAGAATCAAGAAGGCTGCGAAGGTTTAAGGTTTGTGAGTTTGTAGCCCTGCGGACCTGGGATTGCAGGGCTATCTTGTCAAGACTGTCTGAAGACCATCCAGTCAATAAAACAGCCACGGTGAGAAACAGCAGGAGTCCGTCTTCAAGTCATAAAAACAATCGCACAGAAGCACCAAAAGAAGCGATTGTGCAAACAAACAAAACTGCGAAACAAAATATACAGTATAACTGGAACTCTTATATAACTCCATCGAAATGTCGAAGAGAAGGATTTGTCACTGACCGCCTTTGAATATCAGATTATCAGACGGTGTAGCTGATTCTGGCCTGGTACAAACCCTGCAACAGAGTGATTGCAAGGTGAAGGTTAAAGGAGAGGAACACATGCGTTGAGGCTCGCGTGATCACTTGCCGACATGGCAAAACGAGGGTCAAGGACGTGTTTGGGTAGTTGTTTCATCCGTCAGCTGAGCCAGCTGTAGCTTCAGCGATTATCTATAGGTATCCATGTCCATGCGATGAGTTAGCCAAGTGGAGTGCCTACTTGGTGTGAAAAGTCTGGAGCTAGCCAGGTCTTGTGCTAGCAGAATGGTGACACCTCACAGTTGGTGGACTAGCCTAGGGCCTAGAGTTAGTTGAGTATCTCGCTGGCCGTCTCTGAAAATCTTACTTTGAAAAGTAAATGACCCAAGTAGATTGGACAGAGTCACTCTAACAAATTCTAGATGGCCACCCATACAATTCCGCGCTTCCTCATTCCCGCCTTGGAGTGCGTGGCCGTAGCTGTGGGTCGAACAACTTCCTGCGCAGAAAAAAGACGCTCGGAACCCACTGCCGAACTGTGTGGGAGGAAAAACGCCGAGTTCGGTGATATGAGTGGACAAAATCTCTGGGCGACCATTCGGGACCTCTTGGGGAGGTCAGGGGAGATAGCCCCCTTCTTCTATTCTAAACCGACTGGGGAAGGCCGACCCAAACCATATATATATAGATTTGGTCCAATCCTCATGTCTGGAATCCCCTGAAGCTGCTGGGAGTTTTTCATAGGAGTTGGATAAACCATCATGTGACCAGATCTGATCTTCCTGCGTCATCCTTTGGATCCTTTGGTTCACCGGAATTGGAGGCCTTTGAAAAAAGCACAAGGGAAGAGGTGTGCTGGAGTTGGAAGCAAAAGTTCCTCAACATTGGCCTTTGGTTGCTTTTGGACTAGCCAGATACCTTCAGGTCTTTACGGCATGTCTGTGGCCGAAAATGACCAAAATGGAGAGCTGCTGAGGATACATCCGAATAAAGCACATACAAATCTGGAAAGAACTCATGTTGCCATGCTTGATGACCACGAAGATTGGTCGTCCTCACAAAAACTGTCCGAGAAAATTCAACCCAAGAAGAATTCCTCTCGCGCAACAGAATACCATCAGCACGAGTTTTGCCAAACTTTTGTAGGCAACCAAAGCCTGGGCCTGAGGACTTTTTGAGTGGTAAAATTTACTAATGTGCATCTCGCTAGCGAGCACTGATGACTTTTACGCAAATGGTCGTCTACAAAGCCAGATCGCTCTGGGCACCAAGTGGTTGTGGGGGGTAGTAGGAACCGTTATGTACATTGAAAAGAATGAAGCAGGCACGTTGAACCTGACCATACCTCAGGTGTCCAAGGACAACCCCTTGGATGGTGCACTTAGTTGGGGGTTGACATGAGGAGTACAAATCAAGGCCTAGCCAGCCCAAGTAACTTTGTCACTGGCTGATCGGAAGAGAGCTGGAAGTTTACAGAGTAAATCGCAGTCGTGCGGCTCCTGTTGTGCTCCACATCTGATAAGGCCACAGAGAAGAACCCTGTCCAAGCCTGTCATGTCGCGTGCTAGTCCTGCGCCTCCTGCCATCTGGCCTCCGCCTTCTCCGACGGAGCTGCAGCTGCAGCTGAAGAAGCAGCCTTAAGAGATGAGGGAGTTGGCCGGGAAGTCTCAAAGGAGGGCCAACAACTGCTCAATAGTAATGTTTCTCACCCAGCACCACCCAGGAACTGGGTGGTTTCCAACCGGAGTCTTACACGACAATCGTGTACACTGTACACATGGTTGGAGTGTGATGTTTCTAGATTGAGGTTGCCTCAGTAGTTTTCATGTCTATCTATTTGGGCACCACGAGAAGTCCTTCTATTCTAGGGCCTCCCGATATTGAGACAAACCAAAAGGTTTGGTGTTGCCTGCAGGGAAAACAGACGGAATCACCCGCTTTGGGGTGTGCATCTATGATGAGTGTTTTGTGTTTGGGTTCTGGCCTACAGCCAAGTGGGACACGTGGCTGGCCTGCAGAATCCTCAGATGGTACATGATGGTGCCAATTCACATGGTGAGAGGCACCCCTGCAGGAGTGACGAGTGACGGCCCCTCACTTACTGCAGCTGCCCTTCTGTCGGCTCCACTAAAATAAAGTGCCTGTGAGGCGCAAGTGACAGATATTTTTTTGAGTCAAAGATGCATGATCTACGCAGATTCTTCACCACTACACAGATTCACCCCACAACAAAAGACTTGACATTTCCAGCGTGCTTCAAAGCACTTGCAAGTAGAGTACGGGTCCATGTCAATCCAGACAAAGGAAGCATACACCAAAAACAAGGTCTTCTCTTCGTGGCCTCTTCAACTCCTCTTCCGCCCAAAGAAACCCTCTCTTTCGAGTCCTTCAACCACAGACAGGTCACTCCACAGACCGCGCAAACCGGTCGGTGGGTCAGCTCGACCCCACGGTTCACTCGGAAGAAATCCGCCCTTGCTTGCCCTATCTGATCAATACTGATCAAGGACAAATGCTTGCTCACACTATCCTAAGAGTGAAGCGGGGCAACGGGTAGCGAACTAAATGATCCACATGGAGGTTCTTGGCATCTGAACCGCAAGGATATTGACATAAGTATCCTCAAGCAGGTTCAACCACAGGGATCTTCCTTGATCGACCGTGAGAGGTATGGAGATCCTGCTCTGGGAGGCTCCCTGCAAGGTTAAAAACTGGCCTGACAAGAGGCGGAAAACAAGGTCCAAGAATGAAAGCTGAACGTCCTCTGATCACTCCTAATCTCTTCCGATGAACCTGTTTCATTAAGCAGTCACCAAGCCATTCGACTCTTTAAGAGGCAAGTGGTCAGCACAAAGATACATCGAATCCTGTGCCCTCACTGTACATGAAAGAGAGCATCCAACGCTGCACACAAGCCACTGGCCAAATCCCTGGTTGGCCGGTGTGTTCACTGGTGCTTTCGAAGTGATAGACACCTCTTCACATAGAGTATGATGCATTCTTGCAAGGCAGCAACTACCGCTGAAGTCTTAGACCGGGCTTCTGGTCAGTGGCTCGGTGGATTCTGATTTGGTCAGTACCCACACAGATGGAACCTGCCAAGTTGCGCAGCACTTCTTTGGTCGCGTCCAACAAATGCCAGGGATCAGACCGATTCCTCGCGAGGAACTCGCAGTGTGATCGCAGTTCCTGTTCTCCTTGATTCATTGGCACTTTTCTTCACCTTCTGTGCATGATTCATCATGCTGGTTAGTTGGAAACCAAGGGGTCTGTCCCTGGAATTCATTCTGCTTTGGGCCCCCTACCAAGTTCCTCATCGCTCTGATCCGGAGAAAGCCCCGTGCGGTTCAGCGCCCGGGTGGCCCGGGTGATCCTCCGGAAAATTCAACTGCAGAATCCTTAGACCGGTGGACGGGCAGGCGGGGCATGGCCGGTCCAGATCGAAGTGTCCAAACTAACACGTCAAATGGAAGTGGAACACCCGCTGCAATTGAAAAACAACAACACCTTTTTGATGTGAGCGTTGTCTTTCTTGTTATGCTGCATGGGTGGGGTTGCACTTTCTCTTCTGGTTCCTAAAGGAAAGTAGTCTTCCATATCTCCGCTTGCTTGCAAACGTTGGTGTCATTTCAACGTAATTGGGCTGCATCCTGCATCTCGTTTATCCACCTAGACACGGACCTGTTTTTTGTCTTCTATGTGTTCACTCGACTCTATCATTACTATCTGTACTTCTTGAGATCCAGCCTTCACCAATGCTCTTGTTGATCTCCATGTTAAAATCATGAGCTTGTTGAGCCCTTGTCACCCAGCTGTAACCAATCTTCGAAGGCTCTGAACTTTCAATGAGCACATTCGGTGCACGCGCAGAGGTGTCGCACGCTTGCGGGATCAAATGCCAGATCCTGGTAACCAGATCGTCATATGGTGTGATAAATATATACTGTACAAACATGTATATATACAACCAGTATGTTTAGGAATCATGCATCGTTACGTGGAGTACACTTCACTGGCATGTGGCTTGGGGGGTGCCAATTGACAGCATGAAACACGTGTCGGATGTCATCGGTGGCAACACCCAAATCCGTTGCCAAATCCCTACCCCTACAGGCCCTACATGTCCTTCGTGAATGCTTTGGAGTTGATTCGTTCGCTCGGTGGCCACGGAAAGTTGTTGGTGCAAAATAAGTGAAATAATAGCATCATCTTCGAGCCCAACAAACCCTTTGGGCACCCCGTTGAGAGCGGTCCGATCAGGCTTGGGAGAACAGACATGTCAAGCGAAGGGGTTAAAGGTAGTAGAAGCGTCGACATCCATGGTCCGGTTTTGACCCACCACATTGTCTCTTCGGATCTATTTGGTTGTTGCTTGACCCACCAGCTCTGAGGGGAGAGCTTTCTCCAACTATTCTTTTTGGATCTGAGGCACACAGACTCAGCATCGGCCTCTACAGCTGGTCTTGACATGTCCTCCGATGCCGCTGGGCTGTGTCGCTCGTGTTCGCTCCAATGCGCCGGAAGGGCCCTTTCCATGAATGGGCTGCAAGTCAGAAACCGCAACGATTCTGGATTTGGTCAGCTTCCCCCCATTCTGCTGGGCCCTACTGTCAGCTTCCCCCCA